TGGGGGTGGAGAGGCCGCGTTGGGGACACGTTGGGGACATGTTGGGGACACACTGGGGACACGTGGGGGTGGAGAGACCCCATTGGGGACACGTTGGGGACACGTTGGGGACACACTGGGGACAGGTGGGGGTGGAGAGACCCCATTGGGGACACGTTGGGGACACGTTGGGGTCACACTGGGGACATGTGGGGGTGGAGAGGCCCCATTGGGGACACGTTGGGGACACGTTGGGGTCACACTGGGGACATGTGGGGGTGGAGAGGCCATGCTGGGGACACGTTGGGGACACGTTGGGGACAGGTTCGTGCAGTACAAGGCGACGTCGCTGGAGAAGCAGCACAAACACGACCTGCTCACGGAGCCCGACCTGGGTGTCACCATCGACCTCATCAACCCGGACACCTACCGCGTGGAGCCGGGGGGTAGGGGACACCCGGGGGTGTTGGGGACAACCAGGACACCCGTGGGTGCTGGGGACAGCCTGGACACCTCCCATGTGGAACCGGGGGGTAGGGGACACCCGGGGGTGTTGGGGACAACCAGGACACCCGTGGGTGCTGGGGACAGCCTGGACACCTCCCATGTGGAACCGGGGGGTAGGGGACACCCGGGGGTGTTGGGGACAACCAGGACACCCGTGGGTGCTGGGGACAGCCTGGACACCTCCCATGTGGAACCGGGGGGTAGGGGACACCCGGGGGTGTTGGGGACAACCAGGACACCCGTGGGTGCTGGGGACAGCCTGGACACCTCCCATGTGGAACCGGGGGGTAGGGGACACCCGGGGGTGTTGGGGACAACCAGGACACCCGTGGGTGCTGGGGACAGCCTGGACACCTCCCATGTGGAACCGGGGGGTAGGGGACACCCGGGGGTGTTGGGGACAACCAGGACACCCGTGGGTGCTGGGGACAGCCTGGACACCTCCCATGTGGAACCGGGGGGTAGGGGACACCCGGGGGTGTTGGGGACAACCAGGACACCCGTGGGTGCTGGGGACAGCCTGGACACCTCCCATGTGGAACCGGGGGGTAGGGGACACCCGGGGGTGTTGGGGACAACCAGGACACCCGTGGGTGCTGGGGACAGCCTGGACACCTCCCATGTGGAACCGGGGGGTAGGGGACACCCGGGGGTGTTGGGGACAACCAGGACACCCGTGGGTGCTGGGGACAGCCTGGACACCTCCCATGTGGAACCAGGGGGTAGGGGACACCCATGGGTGCTGGGGACAGGGACACCCATGGGTGTTGGGGACAGGGGACACCCATGGGTGCTGGAGGGGGAGCAGGGGGGGACAACAGGGGTGTCCCCAACCTCCCCTCCCCAGTGCTCCTGGACCCGGCGGACGAGAAGCTGCTGGAGGAGGAAATCCAGGCGCCCACGAGCTCCAAAAGGTGCCGGATTCAGCCCAAAACGGGGCCGGGGAGGGGGTGGCAGGGACACGGGGGGGTGACACGGCCGGGGCCCCTCCCAGGGCACAGCAACACGCCAAGGTGGTGCCCTGGATGCGCAAGACCGAGTACATCTCGACCGAGTTCAACCGCTACGGCGTGTCCAACGAGAAGCCCGAGGTCAAGTGAGTGACCGGGGACACCGGGGACACCGGGGACGGGTGACAGCGGGTGACAACGGGTGACGCCGGCAGGATCGGGGTGTCGGTGAAGCAGCAGTTCACCGAGGAGGAGATCTACAAGGACCGCGACAGCCAGATCGCCGCCATCGAGAAGACCTTCGAGGACGCCCAGAAGGCCGTGAGGGACACGGGGACACGGGGACGCGGCCGGGGACACCCTGTGCCACAAAGTGACACCCCCCCACTTTGTTTTTTGTGTCCCCCCCTTTGTTTTTGTGTCCCCCCCCAGATCACGCAGCACTACAGCAAGCCCCGTGTCACCCCCGTGGAGGTGATGCCCGTGTTCCCCGACTTCAAGGTACCGGGGACACTTTTTGGGGGGTTGGGGACACAAATAGGGACCCCCCAGCAAAGAGGGGACCCCCCAGCAATGAGGGGACCCCCCCAGTAAAGAGGGGACCCCCCCAGTAAGAAAAAAAATGGGGGGGTCCAAATGCCCTTCCTCATTTGTGGGGTCACCAGGGGAAACAGGCACGGGGCTCCCGTTGTGAAGGGGACAATGTTGGGGCGGAGGGGACACATTGGGGACATGCTGGGGACACAGGGACACCCTGGGGACATGCGGGGGTGGAGGGGACACGCTGGGGACCAGAGGGCAAGACAGAAGACGGGGACACGAGGTCACGTCAGAGACACATTGGGGACACATTGAGGCCACGCTGGGGACATCATGCTGGGGACACGGGGACACACTGGGGACACATGGGGGTGGAGAAGACATGCTGGGGACACAGGGCCATGATGGGGACACGTTGGGGACACATTGGGGACACGTTGGGGACACGTTGGGGACACACTGGGGCCACGCTGGGGACATGCCAGGGAGACAGGGACAACTGGTTTGGGGACAACTTTGGAGGTTGGGGGGGCACTTTGTGGCACTTTGTGACACTTTGTGGCACTTTGTGGCACTTTGTGACATGTTCTTGTCCCCAAGATGTGGATCAACCCGTGCGCCCAAGTCATCTTCGACTCGGACCCGGCGCCCAAGGACACGAGCGGCCCCGCGGCGCTGGAGATGATGTCGCAGGCCATGATCAGGTGACGGTGACACCGGGGGACACCGGGGGACA